ACTTCACTTGGTGCTGAGAGGGACCCGCGGGGCTATGGCAACAATGGGGGCAGAAAATCAGCGAAGGTGAGATGGGAACTCTGCAGTCCAGACCAGACCCTGACCGCGGACACGACACGTGGAGCAGCCAACACCACCAGCCCCATTGCCACCACCGCCATCACCACCACCCTCGCCACCATCACCACCACCCTCGCCACCATCACCACCACCCTCGCCACCACCACCACCACCACCAGCCCCACTGCAACCACCACCACCATCACCACCACCCTCGCCACCACCACCACCAGCCCCACTGCAACCACCACCATCACCACCATCACCACCCTCGCCACCACCACCACCACCAGCCCCATTGCCACCACCACCATCACCACCACCACCACCCTCGCCACCATCACCACCACCACCACCACCAGCCCCACTGCAACCACCACCACCATCACCACCACCCTCGCCACCACCACCACCACCCTCGCCACCACCACCATCACCACCACCACCACCCTCGCCACCATCACCACCACCAGCCCCACTGCAACCACCATCACCACCACCCTCGCCACCACCACCACCGCCACCACCGCCACCACCACCGCCACCACTGCCACCACCATCACCACCACCCTCGCCACCGCCACCACCGCCACCACCATCCTCGCCGCCACCATCACTATCACCACCATCCCCGCCACCACCACTATCACCACCACCACCCTAGTAACCGCCACCGCCACTGCCACCGCCAACCCTACCATCACCGCCATCACCACCCCCACCGCTACTACCACCCAGGACCTCTTTCGCTATCTCTCTTTGCGCGAACAGCGATGCCCTTCAATACTTTACTTTAAAAACATCTATTTATCCAGGACAGCCACGCTACTGAGTCGTGGGACTCTTTTTCAGGAGGGTCCCTTCCGCATTAGATTTGTATCTGTAAGATGTCTTCAGCCGATTAATGCTAAGTCGTGTATAGTATTGTGATACACGTGTGGAGGAAGACATAGCGTCCGGGAAAAACCCCACGCCTTGCGCGAGGGAGCAACGCTCCATCCCCGTACAGATGGAAACAAATGGCGATTATCCCACTTGCTGTTCACTCTGCTCCTGCAGAGCCAGGGTATGACTCCTCCTCCTCCTCGACGCCCACCCTCGGGAAGAGAGTTTGACAACAACATCGGTGCGGTGACCCACCAACCCTCGCTGCTGCCTCCACAGCACTGGGTCACAGGCAGCCCACGTGCGGCGGCGTAGCCACCACTGCGCGGTTCGATAAACTACAAACTATTTTTATTTGATCAGTAAGGCCCCACTGAACTATATACAGCTCTTTTTCAGAAGCGACCTGGCTATCGCAAAATTATAGCTCAACGAATTTGCTTGTCATCACGTGACCATTTGTAGCAGCAACATACTCTAAAACGCATGAGGTTTTATTCTAAACGTGGAGGGGAAAAAAAACGGAAAACCTGGAGAAAAATCCACGCGACCACGGGGAGAGAGAGATGCAAATTCCAAATATGCAGCAGGCGTCAGGGTCGGGATCGAACCCACGATCCCCTGTATACCAGGAGAGGTAGTTAACATCTCCCTGCCACCGCGGCGGCTAATAACAGTCAGCCGGCGATTGCCCCCCCCCCTCCCGGGGGGTTATGGAGGGGGCAGAGGGGAGGGGGTGAAGAGGTGGCCCAGCTAAAACACAGGCATGGCCATTGTAGAACAAATGTGAATTTAGCTGAAAACTGACATTTATTGTTCACTGGAAGTGTAACTTGTTCCATGCTAGACACTGCGTCCAACCACCACCACCACCACACTGCAGAGCAGGCCAACTCACCCACCCACCCACTCACCCACTCAATCACCCACCCACTCACCCACCCACTCACCCACCCACTCACCCACCCACTCACCCACCCACTCACCCACTCAATCACCCACCCACTCACCCACCCACTCACTCACCCACTCACTCACCCACTCACTGGTGCTGTTTTTTTTCTGGCTGATGACTGGTGGCCACTTTGAGCCTTTGGGCCCTGTGCCAAAATAACGAGAGTTTGGCTTTGAGTGGGAGGGAACCAACCACACACACACCACACATATAACCACACACACCACACATACAACCACACACACCACACATACAACCACACATACAACCACACACACCACACATACAACCACACATACAACAACATACAACCACACATACAACATACAACCACACATACAACCACACACACCACACATACAACAACATACAACCACACATACAACCACACGCACCACACACACACCACACATGCAACTACAAAGACAAACATCTCCCGTGTAGCCTTAACAGACTGTAGGGGCAAGTGCTGTTAGCGAGTAGCACCTACAGTATGAAGGCCGGCACGGTACACGAAGGAGTGGGTGGCCAACACCACGCCCGCCCGCCCGCTTTTGTCTCCCCAGTGGCGATGTTTACACACCGCACAAGGCACTAATTTTAGGCTGAGTCTACCTAGGGGAGGCCCATGGCCGGTTCAGATAATCGTCACTGGGTGTTGGCCGTGAGCGGAAGTTGAACCCTGGCAGGTTCATTGCGCAACGCGCTAACCACTACACGACCGCTCCCCAAACACACACACGCGCACACACCCCACACCGCACTGCTCCACACGGAGGCCCAGGACCGGTTTGGATATCCACTCGCCACCACTTGGATCGGCCGTGGGTGCGAATGAACCGGGAATCGAAGATCGGCGAGCTCGTGGCAGAGTGCGCTCACCGCTGCGCCACCGCTCCGCCACGGCTCCCTACAGACGCACACTCCTCACTGTCCCGTGGACGCCGTGGAGAGAGCCGCGCCTCGTGCTTGTCGAGCTGAAGGGAACTCTCTCATCGCTCTCATCGCTCTCTTCGCTCTCCCGCTCCGTCTCCCTGTCCCCCCGCCCCTCGCTCTCTTGGGCTGGCGCCGCACGTCGCCATTCACCTGCGCCGGGGCTGGCAACTTCCACCGCTGTCGGGAATCTCGCCCAGTGATGTTACAATCCCCAAAGCTTCCATCCGAGCCACCCTCCCTGCCCCCATGCCTCTCTCCCTGCCACCCTCATTGCCACCCTGCCTCCCTCCCTGCCACCCTCCCTGCCACCCTGCCACCCTGCCATCCACCCTCCCTGCCACCCTCCCTGACACTCTGCCACCCACCCTACCTCCGTGCCACCCTCCCTGCCACCCTCCCTGCCACCTTGCCCCCCTCCTTGCCCCATCCCTGCCACCGTGCCACCCTCCCTGCCCCCATCCCTGCCACCGTGCCACCCTCCCTGCCACCCTCCCTGCCACCCTCCCTCCGACCCCCCATCCCTCCCTCCCATCCCCTCGCTGTTCCGGAGAGAGCCCGCCCCGGTGGCTCCGCCTGTCTCCCCCCTCCTGTCTCCCCCCTCCTGTCTCCCCCCTCCTGTCTCCCCCTCCTGTCTCCCCCCTCCTGTCTCCCCCCTCCTGTCTCCCCCCTCCTGTCTCCCCCCTCCTGTCTCCCCCTCCTGTCTCCCCCCTCCTGTCTCCCCCTCCTGTCTCCCCCCTCCTGTCTCCCCCCTCCTGTCTCCCCCCTCCTGTCTCCCCCCTCCTGTCTCCCCCCTCCTGTCTCCCCCCTCCTGTCTCCCCCTCCTGTCTCCCCCCTCCTGTCTCCCCCCTCCTGTCTCCCCCCTCCTGTCTCCCCCTCCTGTCTCCCCCTCCTGTCTCCCCCCTCCTGTCTCCCCCCTCCTGTCTCCCCCCTCCTGTCTCCCCCCTCCTGTCTCCCCCCTCCTGTCTCCCCCCTCCTGTCTCCCCCCTCCTGCCCCTCCTGCTCCGCCACTGCGTGCGCCGCTCGTCAGCGCCGATTTTGCCGTCCGCGCTTCGAGGCTAATTGTCCGTCGTTACCACGACTCACGATGGTGACGACGAGTCTGGGCCGTCGCCTGTGTCCGCGAACACAACTCCCCGGGACTCGTGCCAAGAGAAGTTGTCTCTGTTGAGGCCGCTATGCGTGCGGGTGCGCTGCCTTGCTGCTGCTGCGTGTGTGCGCTGGGTGGTGAAGGATGACGCTACTGGACGCAGTTGGAGGCAGTCACCCTCCCAACAACAACAACAGCAACGGAGGGCAAGAGGCGCGACGCTGACAACTAACGAGCGGAGCGCCAGGCGCCAATGTCGGGATCGAACCCCCCACACTCCTGCATACCAGGCGAGGAAGTTCAGGTCTCGCCACCGTGGTTCTCCTAAATATAATAAACTAGAGTAGTTTTAAACTTGATTTGAGAGAGTAGTTTTAGAGTAGTTTTCTATCTACGTGACTTTACCGAAAGAAACAAAGAGTATGGATTCTTGCAGTCACGAAATCTTCAAATCAAGATTCGAGTCGAGAAGTTAAAATTGCACTGGCACATCAAGATCTCCCGTATAGCGTTAACAGACTGTTGGGGCAAGTGCTGTTATGTTTGCGAGTAGCCGCAGAACATGAAGGCCGGCCACGGCAAACGAGGGGGTGGGTGGCCAGCGCCACCCTCGCGCCGTGCCAATAAAAAGGCAGCAAAAGTTGGCACAGTATGGGGCACAGCTGGTGCATCTGCCAGTCATCTCAGTCGGTCAACCCACGGCACCAGCTTTGTCCGTGCCGCGACCTCCTGCCAGCGAGCCTTCGACCCTTCACGTGGCCTCAAAGTGCACACGGCCCGTCACAGTCTCCGCGGTGACGCCACGGTCACTTCGTGGTGAACGGCTGGCGTTGTTGGTATTTGGCATGCGGCGTTCCCCACGATGGCGTACGGCGTTACGGTGCGCCGCTCGCGGTGTGCTACGCGCTTGAGCCGTGAACTCCGCCGGCCCTGCGACTTTCAGAGGAGGCCCTCGAGGCACCGAGACGGTGTCTCCGTTACGGGCACGGAGCTCCCGGTGAGAGGTGAGAGAGGCGATCCTCGCGCACGACTCATCCACAGCCAAAGCCGCCGAACCACGGCCGAAGCCTCCGGTACCTCGAGAGGGAAGGAGCGGCCGTCGATCTGGTGCTCGGATCCGTCCGCCGACGAGCAGCTGCCCCAGTGAAATGCCAGCCGCGTCGCGCGCCAACGTGTCCCTCCGCTCCACAGGAAGTAGTCCCCGTCAATCCACACCTCCACTGCGAGCGTTGGGGGGGGGGGTAGACGCGCGTGAGTAAGGCGCGCTCTGGAATCCCCCTGACACCGGGTTGGAGCACGTCAGCTGTTCCAGAATCGATCATCGATCACATCGGCGGTTTCAATTCCCATCAAAGGTATCGTCGTCTCTACACCAGATTGGAGCGCACGAGTGGAGATGGGAGCACGTCAGCTGTTCCAGGTTCCATCTCTTGAGCGCCGCGGTGGCTAGGAGATGTTAACAACCTCGCCTGGTATGCAGGAGGTCGTGGGTTCGATCTCGACCCTGACGCCTGCTGTATGGTTGCAGTTTGCGTGTCTCTCTCCCCGTGGTCGCGTGGGTTTTAATCTCTGGGTGCTCCGGGTTTTCCCTCCAGATTTTAGAAAAGCGCTTTAAGAGAGAATTTGGCTGCTGCTATAAATGTCCACACGACGCTGAGCCACTTCGCTGAGCTACTATTCGTGATCGCCCGGTCGCTTCTGAAAAAGCGCTGCATAGCTCAGTGCACCCTTAACGTGGTAAAACACAAAACAGTTCGGATTAAATGGTTTAGATGTTCCAAACTCCATCGCGTCGACTGTTTCCCGACGATCCTGGCACATCCAGCCGACACCTTGTTACACGGTGTCACGACACCACGTCCCAAATCCGCCCCCCGAATCCCTGCGGCGATACTCCAGATGATAGCGTGGCAGCGCATGTCTACGCGGCGATGTCCTGCCTTGACGTTCCGGCTTTGAGCGACAATGAGCCGTGCCGTCGAGTGGACGTGCCTGTGCAAGGATGTTTGGACGCTGTTGTTTGTAGTGTGTACGTACGCACTATTAATGAGGCGTTATCCTGGGAGGTTTTTTTGCGTCGAGGAAGTTCTGCCGTTGGTGCCGTGTGAATCATGAATTGTGTTTGTTTCTTAATTCGCTTGCACACCCCCTTGCAGTACTCCTGGAGATGCCGCCACTGAAAGACCTGGGCTGTGGTCTTTGGATCTCTGTGTCACTCTATGTCACTCTGTTGATCTCTGTGTCACTCTGTGTCACTCTGTGTCACTCTACGGATCTCTGTGTCACTCTGTGTCACTCTGTGGATCTCTGTGTCACTCTGTGTCACTCTGTGTCAATCTGTGTCACTCTGTGGATCTCTGTGTCACTCTGTCTGTGTCACTCTATGGATCTCTGTCACTCTGTGTCACTCTGTGGATCTCTGTGTCACTCTGTGTGACTATGGATCTGTGTCACTCTGTGGATCTCTGTGTCACTCTGTCTGTGTCACTCTATGGATCTTTGTCACTCTGTGTCACTCTGTGGATCTCTGTGTCACTCTGTGTGACTCTATGGATCTGTGTCACTCTGTGTGACTCTATGGATCTGTGTCACTCTGTGGATCTCTGTGTCACTCTGTGTCACTCTGTGTCACTCTGTGTCACTCTACGGATCTCTGTGTCACTCTGTGGATCTCTGTGTCACTCTGTGTCACTCTGTGTCACTCTGTGGATCTGTGTCACTCTGTGGATCTCTGTGTCACTCTGTGTCACTCTGTGGATCTCTGTGTAACATTATGGAACTCCATGATTATCGTATGGGTCTATGTAACTCTGTGAGTCTCTGTGTAACTCTACGAGTCTCTATGTAGTAACTCAATGAGTCTCCATGGATACTCCATCTGACCCTACGGATCTCTGTGGGTCTCTATGTAACGGCAGCGTCCCTGTAAACTGCCGCCACTGGCCCCACGGGTCTCGGGGCTGTGGTCGTCCCCGGCATCCACCACGCCGCTCGGTTCACCGGGACTGAGATAGCGAAGCCTGACGCTGAGAATTCCCCTCGCATTTCACTCAGTTTAAGCACGCGCCAATTAACGAGGCCATCACTGTAATGACCTGCTGACGGGGCGGGGGGGGGGGGGCAGTGGGGGCGGGGGACCTATCGATTTGGACCCCCCCCCCCCCCCCATTAATTGAGCCACTCTAAGCACAATGACCTTAACGGCTCCAATAAATATGTAATAATTAAATAACCAAACGGGGACAAACTCGTGATCGTTAAAGTCGTTGCCGGGTGCTTGAAAGACGTGGAGGAGGGGGAGGTGGGCGGTGGGTTTAGGGGCCGTCCATAAATGATGTCACGCGATTTTGGACGATGTTTGACCCCCCCCCCTCGTCAAACGGCGTCACAAAAAGTCAGACCCCCCCTCAAATATGACGTCACAAAGCTCTCCCCCCCCAAAACCATATTTCCATTTTAAAAATAAAACATGCTTCAAATCGCTTTAAACTATTGTCTTTGTAGTGCGTGTTTAATGTGGCGCTGCACTCTGATGTTGTAGGAGAAAACATTTATTAAAAAAGTCTATTTAATCAAGTACGTGTTGTCTATATTTATTTATTTAAAGTTTGCCCATTTTGATGTGACGTCACATTTCTTAAACCCCCTCCCCCCCCCCCTCGTCACACATCGTCACAAATGTCTGACCCCCCCGCCCCCTAGGTGCGTGACGTCATTTATGGACGGCTCCTTATTTGGACCGACGATGTCGAGCAACGTCGCTCGTTACCAACGAAGGGACGCAAATCCGTCCGGACATCGTCCCTCGTGAGCCACTCGGCAGAGGGGGCTGTCTGGCTGGCTTGCCTGGCCTCTCGCCTGACCCCCAAGAGGAACCCGCCCGCCTACGTTGCACTTTTATTCTTAAATAATCTCAGATTGAAAACGAATTCCTTCATTCGAACCGCTTCTTGTCGCGTTTAAGTTTGTTTGTATCCCCCCCCCCCCCGCTCCCCTCTCGGCACACCTCCGGTTTAGCATGGTTGGCGACGTACGGTGCGACAGAAGTTCCAACATACACACATGTGTGCATGGTGTTCGTCATCAACACACGGGGTCACTGCCTGCAGGGGACAAATGAAGTGACCACATACCCACCGCTCCCATCCCACGTGCCCCGCGCGCCTGGCACGTGACCACCACATTGCACGTACTATGCTTTCTAGCCTTGTCTAGACCACCAGCTCAAGAGATGAAGAGTTTAATATTGTGGCCCTCCCAACAAGCAGTGTGGTGGTCACGTGACATGGGAGGTGTGCCTTCCTGCTATATGTGAGCACCACCTTTGCGCAAGTTTCTATGTGTGTCTAGTTGTCTCTATATGAGAGTATGTGTCTCTACGTGAGTCTATGTGTCTCTACGTTAGTGTACGAGTCTTTATATGAGAGTGAGTCCATGTGTCTCTATGTGAGTGCACGAGTCTCTTTGTGAGTGTACGTGTCTCTATGTCAGATTACGAACCTCTGTGCGAGTCTATGCGTCTCTCTGTGAGCCTACGCATCTCTAAGCGAGCTCACGCGTCTACCACGCGAGTCTGCGCGTCTCTACGGGAACTCTGTGCGTGTCTCCGTTTGCGACGCTGCCCGCACCGGTCTTGCCCGTGTTCTTGATGAGCGTGCGAGGTCCCGTGGCGCGCTCCCACCCCTCCAGGTGCAGCGGTCCCAGGCGCCGGTCCGGCACGGCCTCCTCCGGCACCAGGTCGATGGGCGACTGCTGCGAGCCATTGCACTCCGGGTAGCGAGCCGGCCACGTCAGCACGCCTCCCTCGCCTGGGTCACGCACACAAAGGCAAAGGTCAGAATCTGTATTTGTACTGGAGGAGGAATCCGATGAGCTGTCAAGCTCTTTTGCCACAGATGTTCAGTGCGGGGCACGGGGTCAGACCGTTACGGCAAACAAACAATACAATGAAACGATATAAGTGCAGCGTACAGGAGAGTTAAACAAATCACTTTAACAATATATACAAATGAAACTAAACTTTTTTTTATCTAGCCAGGTAAAGCCAACTGAGCCATTCGCTTATTTTTCAGAAGCGAACTGGCCACAAACGAGAGCTTCACGATGGGGCTTATCACCGTGCAGAAATGTATAGCAGAAAAAATAATCAAAATAATATAGACGAATTTTTCTAAACGTGGAGGGGAAAACCGGAGGACCCGGAGAAAAAAATCCACGCGACCACAGGAGACAGACACCGCAAACTTCAAATATATAGCGGGCGTCAGAGTTTAGATTAAACCCCTGACCTCCTGCATACCAGGCGAGGAAGATTACATCATACCACCGTTGTGCCACTTGAATAAAAAAAAATCAACATAGAAGTTCACATTGTATTGGTACATCAAGATCCCCCGTATAGCCTTAAGCGACTGTTTGGGCAGTAGGTGTTTTCTTGCGAGAAGCAGCACACGTGAAGAAGGCCGGACAGCACACGAGGGGCTGGGTGGCCAGAGCCAAGCCCTGTCGCCGTTGTCTCCCGAGTGGCGATGTTTGCACATTTGAGGCTGAGTCAACCCAGGGGGGCCCCAGTACCGGTTGAGATACTCGACCTCGGGGGAAACCCAGATGATTGTGATGTTTACACACCGCACCAGGTACTCATTTAAGGCTGAGTCGACCTAGGGCAGGCCCAGAACCGGTTAAATAATTGTCACGGGTGTTGGCCGTGAGCGGGAATCGAACCCGGTTGGCAGGTTCGTAGGTCAGCGCGCTAACCGCTCCACCACTACTCCCCTCACCACCAGCAAGAGAATGAGATCACCACCCGCGAGCTACAGAGCTGCAGGGCTCTCTGGGCGCCAGGGGAGTGCAGTCCTCTCACTTCTTCTTCTCTTACAAGAGGTTAGAGCGAGTTGTTTAAGGCTGATCTGACCTACGTGAGACACAGGATATGTTTGTAATAGTACAGGGTCTCGTCTACTTACGAACATTCGAGTTACGAACTTTCAGAGGTACGAACAAACTTGTCCGTATGTCCAGTTATCTGTTCAGACTGAGAGTCATAAGGTCAACCGCCGCGCAAATAGATGGTGGTGGTGACATCTACAGAACGTCAAGAACCAGTGGCATCTACATCTACAGAATGTGACGAACCAGTGGCATCTACATCTACAGAACGTGAAGAACCAGTGGCATCTACATCTACAGAACGTGAAGAACCAGTGGCATCTACATCTATAGAACGTGAAGAACCAGTGGCATCTACATCTACAGAACGTGAAGAACCAGTGGCAACTACATCTACAGAACGTGAAGAACCAGTGGCGTCTACATCTACAGAACGCGAAGAACCAGTGGCATCTACATCTACAGAACGTGAAGAACCAGTGGCATCTACATCTACAGAATGTGATGAACCAGTGGCATCTACATCTACAGAACGTGAAGAACAGTGGCATTTACATCTACAGAACGTGAAGAACCAGTGGCATCTACATCTACAGAACGTGAAGAACCAGTGGCATCTACATCTACAGAACGTGAAGAACCAGTGGCATCTACATCTACAGAACGCGAAGAACCAGTGGCATCTACATCTACAAAACGTGAAGAACCAGTGGCATCTACATATGCAGAACGTGAAGAACCAGTGGCATATACATCTGCAGAACGTGAAGAACCAGTGGCATCTACATCTACAGAACGTGAAGAACCAGTGGCATCTACATCTATAGAACGTGAAGAATCAGTGGCATCTACATATGCAGAACGTGAAGAACCAGTGGCATCTACATCTACAGAACATGAAGAACCAGTGGCATCTACATCTACAGAACGTGAAGAATCAGTGGCATCTACATCTACAGAACGTGAAGAACCAGTGGCATCTACATCTACAGAACGTGAAGAACCAGTGGCATCTACATCTACAGAACGTGAAGAACCAGTGGCATCTACATATGCAGAACGTGAAGAACCAGTTGCATCTACATCTACAGAACGTGAAGAACCAGTGGCATCTACATCTACAGAACGTGAAGAACCAGTGGCATCTACATCTATAGAACGTGAAGAACCAGTGGCATCTACGTATGCAGAACGTGAAGAACCAGTGGCATCTACATCTACAGAACATGAAGAACCAGTGGCATCTACATCTACAGAACGTGAAGAACCAGTGGCATCTACATCTACAGAACGTGAAGAACCAGTGGTATTTACATCTACAGAACGTGAAGAACCAGTGGCATCTACATCTACAGAACATGAAGAACCAGTGGCATCTACATATGCAGAACGTGAAGAACCAGTGGCATCTACTTCTACAGAACATGAAGAACCAGTGGCATCTACATCTACAGAACGTGTAGAACCAGTGGCATCTACATGTACAGAACGTGAAGAACCAGTGGCATCTACATCTACAGAATACGAAGAACCAGTAGCATCTACATATGCAGAACGTGAAGAACCAGTGGCATCTACACCTACAGAACGTGAAGAACCAGTGGCATCTACATCTACAAAACGTGAAGAACCAGTGGCATCTACATCTTCAGGACATGAAGAACCAGTGGAATCTACACCTACAGAACGTGAAGAACCAGTGGCATCTACATCTACAGAACATGAAGAACCAGTGGCATCTACATCTACAGAACGTGAAGAACCAGTGGCATCTACATCTACAGAACGTGAAGAACCAGTGGCGTCTACATCTACAGAACGCGAAGAACCAGTGGCATCTACATCTACAGAACGTGAAGAACCAGTGGCATCTACATCTACAGAATGTGATGAACCAGTGGCATCTACATCTACAGAACGTGAAGAACAGTGGCATCTACATCTACAGAACGTGAAGAACCAGTGGCATCTACATCTACAGAACGTGAAGAACCAGTGGCATCTACATCTACAGAACGTGAAGAACCAGTGGCATCTACATCTACAGAACGCGAAGAACCAGTGGCATCTACATCTACAAAACGTGAAGAACCAGTGGCATCTACATATGCAGAACGTGAAGAACCAGTGGCATCTACATCTGCAGAACGTGAAGAACCAGTGGCATCTACATCTACAGAACGTGAAGAACCAGTGGCATCTACATCTATAGAACGTGAAGAATCAGTGGCATCTACATATGCAGAACGTGAAGAACCAGTGGCATCTACATCTACAGAACATGAAGAACCAGTGGCATCTACATCTACAGAACGTGAAGAATCAGTGGCATCTACATCTACAGAACGTGAAGAACCAGTGGCATCTACATCTACAGAACGTGAAGAACCAGTGGCATCTACATCTACAGAACGTGAAGAACCAGTGGCATCTACATATGCAGAACGTGAAGAACCAGTTGCATCTACATCTACAGAACGTGAAGAACCAGTGGCATCTACATCTACAGAACGTGAAGAACCAGTGGCATCTACATCTATAGAACGTGAAGAACCAGTGGCATCTACGTATGCAGAACGTGAAGAACCAGTGGCATCTACATCTACAGAACATGAAGAACCAGTGGCATCTACATCTACAGAACGTGAAGAACCAGTGGCATCTACATCTACAGAACGTGAAGAACCAGTGGTATTTACATCTACAGAACGTGAAGAACCAGTGGCATCTACATCTACAGAACATGAAGAACCAGTGGCATCTACATATGCAGAACGTGAAGAACCAGTGGCATCTACTTCTACAGAACATGAAGAACCAGTGGCATCTACATCTACAGAACGTGAAGAACCAGTGGCATCTACATCTACAGAATACGAAGAACCAGTAGCATCTACATATGCAGAACGTGAAGAACCAGTGGCATCTACATCTACAAAACGTGAAGAACCAGTGGCATCTACATCTTCAGGACATGAAGAACCAGTGGCATCTACATCTACAGAACATGAAGAACCAGTGGCATCTACATCTACAGAACGTGAAGAACCAGTGGCATCTACACCTACAGAACGTGAAGAACCAGTGGGATCTACATCTACAGAACATGAAGAATCAGTGGGATCTACATCTACAGAACATGAAGAACCAGTAGCATCTACATATGCAGAACGTGAAGAACCAGTGGCATCTACACCTACAGTACGTGAAGAACCAGTGGCATCTACATCTACAGAACGTGAAGAACCAGTGGCATCTACATCTTCAGAATATGAAGAACAAGTGGCATCTACACCTACAGAACGTGAAGAACCAGTGGCATCTACATCTACAGAACATAAAGAACCAGTGGCATCTACATCTACAGAACGTGAAGAACCAGTGGCATCTACACCTACAGAACGTGAAGAACCAGTGGGATCTACATCTACAGAACGTGAAGAACCAGTGGCATCTACACCTACAGAACATGAAGAATCAGTGGGATCTACATCTACAGAACATGAAGAATCAGTGGCATCTACATCTACATAACATGAAGAACCAGTGGGATCTACAGGAGATTAACAAATATTTAAGGCCAGTCCCCATGTTTAGTGTACATGCCGTACAACATGTCTGGAATTGACAGGAGTACTTACGAACAAATCGACTTACGAACAGACCAGAGGAACCATACTCGTTCGTAAGTAGAGGAGTCCCTGCACACTAATACCCGCTCCTGATAGTTACGACCAGGAATCAAACCCAGGTGGCGTGGCGCGAGCATCATTGCACCACCGCTCCGTCACACACAAAGACAAAGATCCCCGTGTAACCTCAACGTACTGTTGGGACAAGTGCTTGTTAGCGTGTAGCACCTATGAAGAAGGCCGCCACGACACACAAGGGGGTGAGTGGCCAGCACCACCCTCGAGCC